TGCTGGTGTTTATCTCCAGCTAAATGTCAAGTTTCTCATAAAGCAGTAAGAACCTAAAGGATTCTCAATACGGTTCTGAAGGTCCATTTGTCCAGTTTAATTTAATTTCAGAGTGAAAAACAAAGTAAGGAGAGCACTAGATGGAAAATTTATTTATGTTTGATCATATTATATATTTCCATTAACAAGTTTTGCATTTTCGTCCTGTTTTCCCAGCAGTTTCCCTTCTATTTGACCCAGTTTGTAGACCTACAGTCAGTTGCTTTCACGTTTAATTAATTTACGTTGAAACTAGATTTTATGCATCTTTAATTTCACCTGACTCAAGGTCTAAAGAGGGAAAGTGGATCAGTTCCCTGCTGTGGTTCTTCCCTTTGCTTCTCGCTGTGACATGTTATAAAATAATACAAAAAACAGCAGCTTTAAGATTCAACAGGAACAATTTTACAAAGTTTTTAAAAAAAAATCTACATATTTTATTTCTGTTCTAAAATTTCCTGACATTTTATTTACAACAGTTTCTGTACACAATCAGAAAAACACCTGTGTTGAAAAAAAGAGGAAAAAAACAAAAAATATAAAGAAGATGTTAAAAGACAAAACGATTCAAAACAATTATCCTGAAGTTAAAGGTAAAAACTTTAATTCCTCCAGTTTGGAGACATTTCCTGCCTTTCGGTGTCAGCAGGTCAACTCAGAGGTAAACACAGATTAGATCTAAATTTACAGATTATAGCTAATCTATAATTTAATCTGCAGTTTGCTCTTTCTTTGGTAAAAATCTGAATCACCAGCAGAAGACAAAAACCTGACGTAAGAAAGCAGAACGTCGCTCCTGGCTCTTAAAAACTTTACATTTTGAGTAAAATCTCCTAAATGTGCTTGTTCAAAACTGTTTCATGCAGTCTAACAGGATGGCCATCTAGACTGGATCAGACGATCACAGAGCAGGAAGGAAGAACCGGATGATGGCGCCGAACAGGACCAGCAGGGGCGTGGCCTGAAGGAGGGGGGCGGAGCCTTTTAATCTCACCTCGATTGGATAGTGGTCGCTCAGTTTCAGCACCTGGCAGACAGAAGCAACAGAAACTGAGACGGATACGAGGCAAACAGATGAATGATGAAAAATACACACAAAAAAAACAAAACAAAGAAATGCAACAGAAAAACTCTGCAGCTACAGCAAATGGAAGCAAAAGGGGAAAAGCCGTAAACAAACTCGAGTGACAAACCATTAGTCCTCCTGGCTACTAGGGGGCGTCAGCCATCAAATCATATGGGATCAGTCCAGAAGAAAGATGGAGGAAGAAAGGAAAGGTCTTTGGCCCCATAGACATAATATAAGCATAGACGCCTTACGGACCGCTCCGGCGCAGGA